GCAAGGACAAGGACAAGGACAAGGATCCGATGACGGGGGTATGCAAATGCAAGGGAGACTTGAAGCCGAACAGACATGGCGAGTGTAGGTGTCCCAAGGGCACCCGTCGGCACGGAGACAAGTGCAAGCGTCACGGGCATTGATCATGGCCAAAACTGATGATGAATGATTTGGACAATGGTTTCTTTTCACGTCCTCTCTGCGCGAGCCTGCCTTGAGGCGTCGCGATTACGATCCTTAGACAGTTATCCCTCTTCTTCTACTATGTATAGTTTACTCAGATTGGTCAAAAGCAAACAAATACTGATATTTCACTTTGAATGACTGGTCCAACCTGATGCAGATGCGCTGAGAGGCGTGCTGGACGGCCAATTTCTCCAAGTGTTCAGCGTCCTATCCTGAGCAGCTGAAGCACGGTCTGTCAAACTGAGACTGTGCAACGTTAGTGGGATTCGATCTGAATAGTTAGTGTGCTTAAGGTTTTTGGTCCCTATCAAGCCTCCCCGTTGCAGGGGAAATTTGATCATCGCCCGTACTCCCCTGCATGTCTTGCGCCCATTTGTCACCGTCAGACGCTGCCCTTCCTCCCAAGAAGAACGGCAGGTTTCCAATCTTTGTTCGTGAGCATTTCAGCATGTCTCCCCGTTGCGTTGTCCACCTTATACATCGAAATAGAAAATGCTCAACTGTCTCGGATGCTTGATCACATTCGCACGTATCCGATTCCGATGCACCGATCCTGTGCAATGGTCGCAAACAGATCTTTGGTTGCCTTGTCACTTTTTACCATACCGAGTCGGATCCATGTTCCTCAGAATCACTTTGTCTGTTTAGGGGTAGCTTTCTTTTTACCAACGCCGAATCTTGGGTCACGAAACTATCAATGTGAGGTGATGACGCAACCCTAATTCGAACATAAGATCATGGCCGCATTTCCGAACACCTTGCAACAGCTTCTTCTGCATTTATCTGCAACCGTCAGATCATATTGCGATCAGATGATATAGGAGTATGCTCCTAACCATCCGCAACTGATTCAAACATAAGTTCTGGAAGTCGCCCCCATGCGGCGATAACGCAATTCACTTTTCACAATGTCTGAATTTGGTAAGAAGCCTTTCGGACAATGGCAACAGCTACCGACCGGCTTTGACGCATTTGGATCAAACATTCACAACTCCAACCGTAAGATATCCTGCGAGCTTGCTCTTCCCTCTCATGAAGCAGAAATACCGCCTTTTTCAGCAATTGACTTATCGTAGATCCCAGTAGGTGGGGTTTTGGTCCTGGCACGCCATCTTCCACTGGACTTTTTGCTACCACACGCGGATCATTTTATGGAGCTTCAGGAGGTAAGGACCCTTTCGCGCCTAGTGTTCTTTAGTTATTTGTAGTTATCTAATGTCTACCCGTGTAATAAAAAGAGAATACAGCAGCAAACTATAATACATAATCCTTCTCGCTCAGAGTTTATCATACTAAGTCAAGCCTTTCCAGATCCTGTCAGTTCGCTTGGACCCAGGTTGTCCAGCTCGGCGCCCACAATCCCGCCCACAACAACCGGCACTGGCTGGCTTGAGCATCACAGTAACACACAAGGGTTGACTGCACTCAGCGATCCTGGCACAAGTAATGTCACAAATCATGCCGACTCGACCGGGTTTGGGGGCGGGTTCTTCGGTTCAAGCGCAAAGAAGACGAGCTTCAGCACAGGAATGAGCCCAAGTACAGCCGGGTTTGGCTCAAATGCTTGGACAAGATTCAGGACCCCTACCACCTCCGTTTTCAGCGCTCCGAGTCAGTCTTTTGGTGGTTGGGCCTGGGGAATCCCTGCCACGGATACTTCAAAGCAGCCATTCTCCCCATTTGTTGAAAGTGAGCTAGGCAACAGGCAGAAGAGTTCCTATCAAAATGTTTGCTTCCAAGGTCCATACAAGAGCTTCTCCCAGGAGGAGCTGAGGCTTGCAGATTATGCCCTCGGCCACCGGTACGGTCTATCATTTAGGTTCAGCGGCCCAAGTTTTGGAACCGGTTTTGGAACATCAATGCAGAGAAGTGCTTCTGGTCCACCTCAGACATTTGGAATCGGCTCCCAACAGGGTGCGTTTGGCACTGGTTTTGGATCCGCTACTACCACCACTTCGCCCCTGGTATGGTAGTGCTCCACAAGGGAGTCACACTTCGTGGTCGAGTCCTTCCATTTTCCAGGCCCCAAGTCAACAACAAGCACAAGGATCGACATCTTTTGCTGAAGCACAAAAGCCAAGCAGTAGCCAGCCGCCTACCGGATCTATCTTTAGGACAGATTCGAGCACTGCTCCTAATCCATTTGCATCAGCAGCTACCCAAGTATCCGCTCTTTCAGGACCCTTAAGCACAAGTCAAAGACCTTGGGTTACTGACAGGTACTCGACTACTCAGGCTTGGCAGCAGGCAACACAACTCCCTAGCACAGAGATGCCAGTTGGTAGAGTTCAAGTTCCTCAACCATTCGGTCAACAGACTCAATATGAACAGACTGGCAATCTTTATTACCAGGTTCCTGGAAGGCCTTCTAGTGACATAAGGCTCATTCAGCAACCATTACAAGATGATAGTCGTGCAACCATTCAACCACAGTTGGTCGCCAAAATTGACGAAATTACTGCCTACGGACCACCTTGGTTATTCTTGACGACAGAGGAGAAGCAGCAACAGCAGGACGAAGGCCCGCTGGCCGTGCGGCGGGCAAGCAAGGGTAAACCCAGAAGCCAATCCGTACCCGCTGGCTTTTCTTTTAGAAGCCCTAGATTGGCACCTTGTGATATGTCCCCAGGCTCTCCTAGGTCCAGCTTTCGTCATGCTTTGTATCCCGCGTCATACCCAGTCAAAAGAACACTTCTGAGCTCCGACTGGATGGGACCTCCAGACCTAGGCCATGAACTAACCAGGAGCCCATCTAGAAGAGGCTCTGACCAACGTCGCACCAGCGAAGACACAATATCAACCGGCGGCCATAGAAAGGGCTTTAACATAGTCGAGAAATCCTTCTCACAGATCTCTAAGCAGCTAAAGACACTCGAGATTGATCAAGACCGAGGCCGAGATCTATTCGCGAGTTCTTCTAAACGCAGAGGTCAAAAAGAGAGTATCGGCACAACGGCATTAACTGGCATTGCCAACCCCGGTAGGGAAGGAGGGGCAAAGAGCCGAACGCCAGGTACTACGACTGAAACCAGCGAACATACTAGTAGTCCACCCAGCCCAGGTAACACTGGTAATATCAGATCACGAAGCGGATGTGGAACAAAACAAAACGATGAAAGTACAGCGGCCGATTCCCAGCGCGGAGTGCTAGATACGACCTTCAAAGGAAGACCTTCTGGCTATGGACAAAGACCAGCGCAAAAGGGTGACAGACTTGACCATTGGCCGGGAGAACGTTGGTGTCATTCGCTTCAAACATCCAGTTGACTTTACGGGCATTGACCTTGAGAGTTTGCTCGGTGGTCTTGTCATACTTGAAAGTCGATCAGCAACGGTCTACCCCGACTCCTTTGGACTCAAACCCCCTCCTGGCGAGGGCCTTAATGTTCCTGCTTCAATTTCCTTGGAAAGTCCGTGGCCTCGAAAGAAGACAAACAGAGAAGATCTATCGGAGGATGAGGCCAGGCGTCAAGTTGCGAGCCATATTGAGCGACTGAAACGCGTTGCGGTAACAAGTTTTGAGAGTTATAGCGAGGAGGACGGAACCTGGACGTTCTCAGTCAATCATTTCTCGACCTACAACCAAGTCATGTGCAATAATTAAATTACTGACTATTTATTTACGATGCCATTTCATGTAATTAGGAATATTTTGGTTGACTGCGAATTAAAACTTTCCTGTCCTCAAATTTTAGAGCTCTAATGACCAAACCTTCCGAAAGGCCTAACTATTCACGCCACTCTACAACTCACCACTCAGCTCCGCAGCCAGTAAACGCAACATGAAGCGTATACGAACAGATGATCCAGGCTTTTGTTCACGAGATCAAGTGGCTCGTCTATGTATATACTATTTTTACGTTCGATAGGTTTCATAGAATAGTAATTCTGAATGAGTGTCATGTTGATATTGATATTGATACAAAAGAAGTCCGGTAATAGCCAATTAAAATGCATTGATTAAAAGATACCTTTCACCCCCTTATTTCAGCCTGCGATAGAAACACCAGCAATTTCTCGAGTTATAACTCGCTATATCACATTGCTTATATTCCTAATCTATCAAGAGATTCTACCTATGTATCTCCTAGAAGATAGTGGGCACATAGGGCCTGGTATGGCCGGGAGCCTATTGCTCATCGGTAAGCGGCTCTGATGCGCTCAAATGAACCGAACCGAAGTTTGACAACAACTGAGGGGCGTTTCCGGACTCTATGATGGGTGTAAGATGCTCGCTATGAGTTTCAGACGACTCTAGAATGTATTTTAGAGTTAGAATCTGAAGATCTTAAATGCCAGGTGAACAAGACATAGGGACGTATTATGGCTTCTTTGAGTTAACGCTCCCCCGACGTGCATTCCATGACATGCTTTAGTGTCTGGCTCCCGATAGATCACGAGTTCGTGTATAGATGTAGTTCCAAGGTTCACTTACGAGATTTGATTAATTTCCTCTTCATATTCTCCCCGAAAATTCCTAGTCATTAATGGGTATTCATGTTAGATCCACCACATTGTCATCAGGCCTCCGCACCTCCTTCAGGCTATTAGAGTTCAGACTCGTATGAGCCCCCCCTTTCCTTGGCTGATGCACCCTTACCAGTCGTCTTACGACGTAGTCAGATCAATCGCAACCTTTGGACCCTATATCGTATGTTTCAATGAATCATTTCGTAGTCATGGTATAATCTGGAAACCTTATTTCTGTATATTTTACCCTTGTTGAGGTAGAGAGAGTTTGGTGTGCTGCAACCTATGATCTGATCTAATGGTCGGCCCATCTCTTGTCAACTCTAAAGAGTCGGGAGCCTCCGAGCTGCCGAGTCACTGCTACTAATCATCTGATCCGTTGACGAACGTATTCTCGGGTGGGCACAAAAATATGGACTTTATTTATTGCAAACAAAGACCATTTTTCATTGACGTGGGTAAACCAGCCTCGGCTATCTCGCCATTATATGTTTTCAAACTAATTTGCAATGGCTTCATCTCGAAGTGGACTACTTGTGCTCGGTGCTGGCGGCATGGGCCTCGCCATTGCCCGTCGCCTTGGGGCAGGACGCCTCGTTTTCCTTGCCGATAACTCGCCGAAAGTCCTCGATTTTGCTGCATCTTCCCTCCGAAGTGATGGGCACGAAGTACAAACTCATATTGTTGACGTGTCAAGCAATGATTCTGTCAAAAATCTCGCCAAGATCGCTTCCGAGGCGGCTAGGTTGAACGCAGTAGTGAACACCGCTGGTATCTCCCCCGGGATGGGTACTGCTCGAAGGATCTTCGAGGTCAACCTGCTCGGAACAGCCAATGTCATTGACGTCTTCCTCGAGGTTATGCCCCCTGGTTCCTCGTTGATCTCTATTGCAAGTATAGCTGGCTATTTGGCCCAGAAGGCTATTAGTCCTGAGCTGGAGAAGCATCTCGCGACATCCCCAAGAGAACAACTACTAGGTCACGATGCTACGGATCTAGAGGGTTCACCTGAGCTGGCATACGGCATTTCCAAGTGGGGAAACATCGTTCGCATGCAGGCTGCAATTCGACAAGGACAAAAGAAAGGAGTGAGACTGAACACAATCAGCCCGGGTGTGATCATGACGGCAATGATACGAAAGGAGTTAGATTCAGAGTTGGGAGATCGGTTAAGGAAGATGATTCCGGAGACTCCAATTCCCAGAGCCGGCTGCGCCGATGAGGTTGCAAGTCTTGTCGCTTTCTTGTCAAGCCCGGATGCAAGCTTCATTAACGGTGCAGATTTTGTGATCGATGGTGGTGCTACTGCAGCATCCCGGTTTAGCGATCCAATCCTTGAGTTGGTTTAGCAGAACAAGTTATGTAGACGATGAGGGTTCTTGAGGGGTCGTTTTGAACTATAATGTTAGGTTTGCTGAACGAATAATATTTAATATTGAACCGGACGCTGTACTTGGCTTAACTGACTATCTTACCCTTCTCATTACCCTAGTCGGTGTCTCCAGGAAGTTGATTGCTACTCATTAGGCTCCGACGTAACTCGGCTTATTCCGCATACAATTATCGGCTAATGATCAATGATCAGAGCCTTTAATCACATAATTTGACATACAGGTAGGGCATTCATATATTCATTTTTGCAAAATAATAGAGATGACAGAACATATTTGATTAGCTCTAAGTTTGCCTGTTATCAATGGTTCCCGAGTTTCTTCCTACAACAATTCAATGACTCGTATCCATTATGGAACTGGATCGGCCGTCGGGCCCCAGTGAATCCACAGTTTCCCAGTTCATCTGGAAGGGTAAGGTAGCAGTTGTGACATGCGGGGCTTATAGCTGCTGCCAGAAAAGAGTTACTCGGCCACACGGTTTGAGGGACGCCAATAACTTGAGAAACCGCTGAATGGGTAAATTATTTTCAAGTTCCTAAGTCGATTGTTATTGAATATTTTTGGCATAATCTTCCCACCATGTGGCTTGGTTCAGATCATAGGGGGACTTTAAGTTGCCAGGTTGACGAATGAGCATCTGGGAATTCTGTCTTCGCATACGGAGAGTAACGCGCCTAATATCCTGTGGCTCATGACTACTTAATGACGTAGTAAAGCTGCCATTTCATCATTATTCGACACCGCATCGTCACGTTAGCATGATTTACGCTATTAGTTATCAGCTGCTTTAGTGCCTTCCTCCCTGGCGCCGGAGATTTCATGGGGGTGATTTCTGCGCGGTCTATTTTAAGCGACCAGGACCATTAGATTTGCCTTAACAAAGGCTTGCCGATATCAGTAATGAACCACGCTCAGGCAATCGCCGAAGCACGCCGCCAGAGAAATTGGCAGCTTCTAGAATGAGTCGACACGTTCTGATCGTCGGCGGCCATGGAAGGATTGCTCAGATCCTTACGCAGCAACTACTCAAGAAGTCGTGGATTGTTACTAGCCTCGTTCGGAGTCAGGATCAAGTCTCCCAGCTCAACAGCCTGGCCACACCTAACCAGGGAAATTTGAACGTGCTGGTCCGTAATTTGGAACATGTCCACGATACTTCCCAGGCAAGATCGATCCTCGACGAAGTCAAACCATATACCGTTGTTTGGTGCGCTGGAGCAGGTGGGGAGGCAAGGCCTGACCGAGTAAGAAATATATTAACTCAATGAAGAATGACGACTAATAAACCTCGCTAGACGTTTGCCATCGACCGAGATGCTGCCATTAACTTTATTAAGGCTGCAGTCCAAATGCCAACTGTAAAAAAATTACTTCTTATTTCATATATTAACTGTCGCCGAGAGCGACCTAGTTGGTGGGATGAGGACGCCTGGATATACGCTCAAGAGATGCAGAGAGGCGGTCTCTTGAGCTACTGTCAAGCTAAATTAGCAGCAGATGAGATACTTCTTCAGGAGGCGTCCAGTCGAACTGACTTCTCGGGGGTAAGTCTTCGCCTGGGCATACTGTCGGACGAACCCGCAGGGTTGATCGAACTTGGAAAAACTACAACGTCGAGGGGTAGTGTTAGCCGCGCATCTGTAGCTGAAGTTATTGTGTCGCTGCTTGAGCATGAGACGGTGCAGACAGCCTGGTTGGATATGCTTGATGGCGCTGAAGATATTGAAACTGCTGTTGAACGTGTAGTCAATGACCGAGAGAATGCGGCTGAGGAAGGAAAAGGACCGCAGACCTAGATGGCCCCAACTTGAATCTTGGGTATATGGATGGCACTCAGAGTTTGAGACACGTTGTGATAGTGAGTATAATTATCAGAAAGATAAGAATGAAGATCTCACTATTTATTCGCGAATAGTTTACACTTGTGAACACAGTCGCAAAATCTACTATTATCCTAGCTGATATCGATGGCTGTAATGAGACTGGCTCGAGGCCATCGAAGTGCTAGCGAGCCTGGTACATAACTAGATGCGATCTAACCGGAAACAGTGATGTGTTGTAGGATCAATGCCGATTTATCAATGCCGGGAGAAATGTAAATAGGCTGAGATTTCGCGAGTTCCCTTTATAAGCTACACAAATTGTCTCCATAACATAATAACAGCTATGGCACAAGATTCTAATTATTTAGACACTATCGCTCTTTGTCCCTTAGTGGGACCTACAATGCCTTGAAACTTGGTGCAAGCGGCTGCCTAAAGTTAAATCGCCGGTGCGAATAAAAGCGTGTTAATATTTTAGCCTTTTCTTTTTTCCACCCTGTCTTCGGAACCCTGGTTGACTGCACACGCAAAAGCTGATTATAGCTACCCTTTATTACCCCAGCAGAGATATCTCTTTATAACATCAACTTGAAAGTTGATACCGGAATTATTATCCCAGTATTCTTGTCCGTTAACATCATAGCGTGTACAAAGGAATAAAGGCTGTGCCTCAAAGTTAATAGTATCAGCCAGAATTATAGAGAAAACAAATCGATCATATCCGGGTATTTCGCCAGGATTAGTTTTATAATCGTATTTGGCTGTAGTTTCCGAAATAGTTTTCCAGAAATCGAATGTAAAACGGCAGACGACTGACTTTTCGAATGCCAAGTTGGCCACTATAACGGAACCTAGTATAGCCATTTGATTATTGCAAAGAGATACCCTCTCAAGCCTGACGGGCATGGTTTCATGAGCGGTAGTATGATGAGGGAAGTTAGGGGTAAATAACTCCCATTCGTAAAACGATGTCCTTTTTTTGAGACTCTTATATGGAGGTGGGAACAAATCGGTTTCGTCACAATCTGTGGCAGGTGATGTATCTTTCCTCACATCGAAGGGACGGTCCATCTCATGAAAATAGATAATATTCTCCAGGACTGAGTCGAAGCGAACCGATTTGTAAAGCGGGAGTGTGTCTGAGGACCGATGATGACGGCGTGAACGCAGAGCTGGTCGGATCTGTTCATTCGACTTTCTGTGGACGTTGTCGGCATACGTCCCGGGCGCCTCATATTTTCCAGTATATTTTCTCAGCTCTCTTGGCGGGTTGTCATCATGTCTGAAAACGCCAGCATGAGCGTTAGCTGCCTGGCGGAGAGGAGGAGACTCTACGCTCTTTCTCTCGTATATGCGAACCGTGCTACTGAGAAGGCCTTTGCTGAAGCTAGAACGGATATTTTGACATCCGTCATCCAGATTCTGGTCTTGATTGTGATTCAGTGGCGATGTCCTGTATCGCAGGATATGATTGGTGAGGTCTATGATATCTTGTAGAGTTGTTGGATACTTCTCACAAATCTTTGGAATATGTCCATTATTGTTGCCAGGCAACGTCAAATCACGACGAGAGAGAGTCGATATTCCGTCCACGTCCCAATCCTGAGTTAGAGTGGGGGATTGCAGGCGGGGGACCGATGAGATAATGGCTGCCATGGCTTGGTCCTCGGCTGGACCCCGCGGAGTCAAAAGGAACCACTGATTTATTACTAACGGCTGAGATTATCGCATATGACTTTTGGTGGCCCTGGGATGCGTGTCTATGCCGGCCGAGATAATCACAGACTCAAGAAGCTGGGATTCGATATGACTGACATGCAAAGACACCTCCGAAACAGCGCACCGGATATTCGACTTTGACAGTTGACCAATGTTCTGCGAACGAGGGATCGTCGTTAATTGCGGAAATAGGTAGCATAGACAATGCCGACTCGAAACCGTGTACGCAAGGAACGAGAGGGGAGAGAATTGCATACACGAGACTCAATGGGGAGATATGAGGCCCGAGGTTGGCATAACAGAGGGTCCTGGTGCAGGTAGAAATTCATCATTCATAGCCAAGGTTATGAATGGCAGGTTTTAGCGCAACCTATAGCTTTGCAAGGGAGGAGTATTTAAGTGTACTAAAATACCCATGTAGAAAGAACTTTCAAGATTGAAAAATTGCCTCTGGAGATGATCGTGAACTGTTGACGGATACGTTGCTGCTTCCGAGTGTAGTAACGTCACAAAAGGTAAAGAGATGGAGGGTTGTCATCAATTAAACCTAGAATCATGTTATATATTATTGCCTTTATGTCAGATCATTGAATCTGCATCAAAGTTTGAGATCGCGTTAGTTTGTCTCGACTCATCGCAAACCTATGAAGACCCATGAATTCAAAGGATAGTAACTAGGAAATAACATGATATTTTGTCTGTCGATATCTGACCACCAGTTCGAATGCCGTGGGAAGTTACTGGAGCAAATGTCATCCCAGCCGCATGATCTGATGAACGAATGAATGGATAGGTGGCTGATTGGCGGCCGCTGCACACTACGGATTGATATGTACACCACGTTGATTTCTAAATCAAATGTCTTAGCTATTATGTCGCCCAATGTCTAGCCAGCCATTTTCATCGAGCTATTAGGATCTAGGTTTTTATCTAATGTAAGGTAAGGTGTGAGGGAAAGCCCCGTTTGGTCGCTAATAGTCATCGACTTGTTTCATGTCCGACTGCCTTGCACATGTATCAAAATCAACGCACCGTAGCCACCAACGAGGCCATAATAATTCCAAGTACTCTGTACCGAGGTCGAGACCTATATTCGTTAGATACCACCTAGGAGGTAGGCAATCGTTGGTTCTGGCTGGTGATCAGCTGGATCTTGACTCTAGTCCAGTTTTTAGCTACCGTGGTCAGTTGTCGCTGACACCCAGCTTGTCTCGCATATTTATCAGGGATGAACGCTTCGATGCTCTTAGCTCCACGATTTGACTAGAAACTCGAATTAGTGACCCAACATTGATTCGGTGGCTTCGGATTCGCACTTCCCCGACGCTACTGGCAGGGTCATATCACAACGCCACTCGTGCCCCCGCTTACGACGAGCATATCTTCATGGTAGGTACCCGGGGTACCTCATTGCAAATGGTGAGGCTTAAGGCCTATTATTACTTCAGGAGTACGAACAACCGACGAGATCCTTCAAAAGGAACCTATTAGCATTGACTAAAAAGTGGAACATCATGTCCTTTTCTGACTAGTCTGAAAGCTTGGCTCAAGAATGCAGGATGCGTCTACAGATCATTATATATTCTCAAAACAATTAAACTAACCACTCTTAGCAGACATATGTCAGATATTACGTGTATTCGGTCCCTTGATGCAGATTGGTATATTCGTGTTGTGTTTTGTTTTAATTCTGTCCCTTAGAGGTTTTACCATTTCGGTTGTAATCTTGAAGTATCCCTGCTTCCATGTGAGACCCCAGCATCTGTTCAACAATATATACCCTTGTTAACCTAGATACGTGTAGTGGTTACGTCCGACAAATCATTCGGCGGGTATGATCTGATCCGGAAAGTTTATCCCTTTCCCCTTCAGGACTCACAGCTCCTGTTCAGGCATGTGACACTGCTCTCAATTTCGCTTTCAGAATCAGCAATACCCGTTGAGCTGAAAAGGTGTTATATATACACAGCTGACACTTATTATGTCACCTTGGCTCCTGATTCAAGCCCTACACTTTTGGTTTCGAACTCGTCAGCCTTACCACTGTCTGGCCAACCCATTCGTGAGTTTGAGTCCCGCTAGAGACATTTTCCAAGAGCCCAGGCCACGACCAGTATCAATATGGCCAACTTGAAGGCCAAGACCGGCCATCCTCATGATGCCTCGAAACATTTACAGGAAAATCACAACAAACAGACACAACTCAATACATACATTTACGAGTATTTTCTTCACAATAGCATGTTTCAATGTGCTCAATCCATTCTCAAGGCCGATTCCGACGTCAGGGTTCAGAGGCACAGCCCTGGCAGTGATCGCCGCGACAAAGGCTTGCGACTGAAGAATGCCCTCCGGAACAAGACCATTGACTCCCGCTTGGACTCCACGCACTCAAATCTTCTTCCAGCTCTCAACGTTCCCAATCTATCGCCGGACAGCTGTTTTCTCAATGAATGGTTTTGCCTCTTCTGGGCCATGTTCAACGCTCAAAAGAATGAGAATAGAAGGATTGAAGCATGTCAATATGCCTGTCATATACAGGTATCTCTTCTAGAACACGCTTTCCCTCCTAACATAGCTAACATGATACGAAGCAACAAAACTGGCCAAAGTGGAATGTTAGCTGGCCGCAGACCCAAAGCTCCTTACTACTACTGCAGGCTCCGGGCAGTGCCACCCATAACGCCTTCTATAACTCTGGCGAAGTGGGCGTAGGTAGCATGACTCCCGCAATCTCGGGTGTCCGAGCTTGTGGTAGTAGCAATTCAGCCTCGCAGAAATCCCACGTGCAACTGACTTCGATGAAGCAGCAAAACGAGAATCAGATGACAGCGCGACAAGGCAGAAGCAGTCTGTATCGAAATGATGGAATATCTGGTGGCCGGGGAGGTCAAAGGCCTAGACAAAATTCAAAGCTTTTTCAACAACCCGGTCTACAAACCTCGAGACCAGGCGCATTGCCTGATACTACCAAGCAGGTGAAACTCGGCACTCAACCAATGAACAACATCAGTGTGTTTTCCCATCTACTTTTTTCGGATCTCACCGTTATCTTGGCTCCCTTAATTCCTTTGCCCAATAGCTTACCTACAGTATAGTACTTGATTTCCCGACAGCAAAAGTAGACGGCCTAGGCGACAATGTGGGTGTAGTGCGCATGGATGACTGCACACAAGCCTCTAATTTACGTACTTTTCAACAGTCCAATAGCCAAACGACCCGGCCATCAATGACGGCGAAACAAACATCATTTCAACAGGAAGGGAACACGATTCACAATTGGTCGGTGCAGTGGCAGAACGATTCAAGTGAAAACCAGATTCCCGAGACGTCCCCGCGTGGGGTCCAGGATACACTGCAAGAACGGTCTCGCCTCCCGCCAGTCCAGCCAGCAGATGCCAACGACAGTGTCAAGCCAAGAAGCACCGTTTCCCCACTGTCACAGACGAGCAAGCCTGACTTGCCAACTCCACAGCTTAGCAAAGCCGTTCGCGAGAAAATCCCCTTTCCCAAAGGGACTATTCTCAAGAGGAGGGCCACGAACGTCAAAGACGAGGTAATGGGCTTCTTGTATGAGACTGAGTTGCTTCCCCATTGCTAACATCCCGTAGATGATGACTTGTAAGATTCCGAAATTGAACGCTGGCTCTACAGCGACACGCCCTGCGGATGCTGCTCCGAGCCCAGTGCCTCATATCAACCCCGTCGGCATAAGGAAGGATGCCCCAAATTCTAGTCTTTCGCATGCCGTGCCTACGGGACAGCCAGCAGTAGCTCTGCCACTTACACCTGCGTCTATGGCGGCTAACCCACCTTTTGACTTGGTTCAGAGCGCGACACTAAATATAGAAAACTGTAATATGACTGTAAATCCCGTTATATCTCTTTAGGTACTGGTGAGGTGATTGCTAATATGGATGTAGGACTTTGCGAGTTTCCCTACGTTTGAGGATAAAATTGGTGAATTTGATTTGGGTGCTTTCCTAGAAAGTAGCGTTGAAGATGCAGGAGGCTTTCACTTCAACTATTTTCCGTCTAACATAAATACCGATAACATTGACCAAAGTTGACATGTTCATAGCTTCTAGATGTAGCCAATAGACAGCCTATGCCATCTGATTCCCTGTAGACCAATCCTGTTATCTAATCTCTAAGCCCCGGGGGGCTTCCTTTCCCGTGGCCAAGGAAAGTTCTCAGGGCGGTATCATGCCCAGACATATGCGGTCGTTTAATGTGATTTCTGCTATATATCATTACGACGTTTCAGACACGTATGGAGTCTATATCTGCTCACGAAGCGAAGGTTAATCCGGTTAGATGAGGATTCAATAGCACGAAAGGCGCGTCAGGAGTATGGTCAGACACTGTGGTCGGCAGCTGGTGAAGGATGACGTCGTTCCAGAGCTAGTGCGGGATATGGACAGAATCTATGCCAGCTCGAAAAAAAAAGAAGACAAAAAAAGGCACCCTTTGCTGGATACCCCTACGGTGAACAGTTAGCAAGGGATAAGATTAAATCGTCCAAGCTAGGAGACAACTAAGAAGCTCAGCGGCCAAAACATTCTCTACGTTCCCAGAGAACTCTGTTATGCCAACTATGTTCTGCATCCCTGCTAACTTTGCCAAGAATTTTACAACTTCCTTACAATTCTACGACCACGACATCATCTGGCAATACCATCATAACACTACTGGGATAGTAAAACGTATTTATCAGGCAAAGGGTCATATAAGATTCACTTAAGAGGACTAGTGTCTGTTTTAAACAAGACTATATTGTAGATTTTACTATGAAAGTTGCAGAGAGCGTGTACCTTTAATAAATAAGCGAAGATGAGGGCCGAATTATATTATAGATATCCAAAAGAAGCCTCCAAAGGAAATAAGAATGGTAAGGCAAGTTACAATCAGTGAAAGCTTAACCACGACGCCGTATTTATTGCCCTCGCAGATCAGTTCAATCAATATTAATGCGGCAAGACTCGTGTTTCTTGACCATCAGGATAATAATACTTATGATGCCATCTTGGAAGCTGGCGCTGACACTATCCTAATCCATATAGGATGGGAAGCTGAAGGTATGGGAAAACTCGCTAACGCTGTGCTCAGCAAGCTAATACTTCGTCTTTTTATTATCTTTATCGCCCTTTTCTGGCTGTCAAGGTTGTGATTTGGTGTGGTCATTGCTATAGCTTTTAATAGCTCCATGCATAGATGGGCCTTTAACAAAACCTGCAGGAAGGTTCTTCTCGATTGTACCTCCTTCTTGTTCATACCAAGCTCGTCGATGGATATACCACTATGCTTAAATGATGTCTCCGCCAAATGGATTGCTTCCCCTTCCGTTACTAGGACCAGGGAATCTTGGGTTTCCACCAGGGCCAGTGGGATCCCATCGCGCTCCAGGCGGCACTTGAGGATCGAAGCCGGATGATTCATCGCCTCCTTGACCTCCAAATAATGGGTTATCAAAGGTGGGATGCATAATCGAGCCACCACCGGGTCGAGGTAACCCACCGGTGAACGAACCACGAAGAGGATCATGGGGGCCAAGACCGAGCGGATTCAAGTCATCGTGGCCAATATTGTAAGGCGGTTTACCGGGCATTTGAAGGCCGCTTCGTGAAGGCCGGTTCATTTCATACTCATCCTCAAATCCTGGAGGGGGAAAGTCGCCTACTTGATGAGGTCGAGGACGGGCCATCTCAGGGCGTGGAATCGCTGGAGGCGGGAGCATATAGTAGTTTAATATGGGATCACCATGGCGAGGTCGGTTAGGGCCCTGCGCTACATGGGCCCTGCGCTCGGAGCGCGTGTTGACTTCTGCTTCAGCGGGCTCGACATAACCTTCGCTTCGAAGCTTAGGAATTAATTTCTGGATGATGTGGACTTTGAGATCATGAAGTATATCTGTGGAGGGTGTTCAGTATAAGGTAATAGAGGAAAGCATCGACAAGGGGGAACACACCAGCGATGGCTTGCTCCGAGGTAAATAAGCCCTGAAGCTTTTCAGCAAGATCACTTTGATTTTCCTCATTGTCCTTAATTGTAATGCTAATGGGGAGTTCATTAGACTTCACGACTTCGCCAATAGATCGCTCAAAACGATGAATGTTGTCATCTCCAACCGCCAGTCCCAGGATCTCGACCTTTTTACCCATGGGATTGACACGGATGCTGAAAGTCATGGATGACTGCTTGTGCGAGTATAAAAAGCTATAAGAGCCAAAACCCGAGTTCCATTGTGGCGGTAGGCGAGGGGCCAACGATTCGTATTTAGCTATTGCTTTGGTGTCAGCTAAGACATGGTGGGGATGGAAGGGGATACTTACGTAGTTTCTTGTCCTCGTCAAAGCTTTGAAGTTTGAATCCAAGGGCGGCTAAGTAGGAATGAATGAGGAGAGCGATGGCTTCGTAGGACGATGCGAGATCCGATGAGTTATCGCTGGGAGGATGTGTAGGGAGAGCGTCTGCCATGCCACTGAGAATGGCGGTGACAGTGAGGTGTTCTGGCATTATGGAGTGTGATGTCTTTAATGATGAGTTCTTGATAGCGTTGATGAGTGGGATATTTTGTTGCTAAATACCTAGTAGGTAAGGTATGTAGTGGAGGAGATGCAAGTCAGAAGTTATTCGAGGTGAGTTTTGGAGCCCGCAGCATGAAGTAGTTACCTCTCAGCCCAATATATGGATCCTTTGGGCATCACAGGGCAGTGATACTGAGGCAGTAGCGGGGCGTTTTGCAAGTTAAAATGCGATGCCTGGATCGGGCCTGGTCATTTTATACCTAAAGGAGCATACTTCAAATTACATGTAGATACTATGAGATTAGCCAGGTAAAAAGGTTTTGGTAGTGGAAACTCTCATTTAAAGGTATCAGGTACGACCACCAAGTCTAGGCACAAAATGCTACAATGTGCAGCAAGATGTAAGGATCCAGCAAGCCAACGCCGCAGAATACATACATTTACACATACACACTGCAACAATAACAGATAAGGTACCAATTGGGCATAATGATTATATGTTATTTATAAGAATTTCCATGTTAGGCGCTTCGGTAATTTGCTGCATCACCCTCATGACGATGTTTACGTGATACCACTCTGTTGGCAACGAAATGTTTCAAGATGAGCTTGTTGGGAAGTAGTCCGCCTGCCATTGTAGACACTTTTTAGGAAATTATGACCCACAAAAATGTATGGAACTCTTGCATAGCTCGTTGTTCTGACAGCCAACTGCCAAGGGTGTATATAGTATTAGAGGAGGCGCTGCCTTTATGCCTGGTGGGAGAGGACGCTCCATGACTCTACAGAGAATATTTGCTTGTCAATATGTTTTAAGCTCAACAGGACTCCACATGATCTGATATGATGATCTGAAGTGGCGGGTGCCTTCAAATGCAGCGCTAGGAATACCTGAGTAGGGAACAGTAGGGTTATGTAAATGATCTGACCTCTAGACGGCGTTTTTGGCATTGTAATAATGACGTACTTCCTTATCGACTTTACTATCCATGATCTGATCGTCAATACCTAGAGACGGTGTCTCCTGACCGCGGTCTTACCCCGTAATCGCCATTACGCCATTACAGACCTTAGGCCCAGTGAGTCGTGGTGACGGGGCTGTCTAAATGGCATTATGTGATAATTTTCTGTGGGCCAGTCACATGATCCAGTCAAGCAAGACCAACACCAACAGCTAGGTGAGAGGATAGCTGTCTGATCCACCACCATTTCGTCATACCTATTCTTAAATAGTTCCCACTAAGCGTCGAGGCCATGCCATTTTGCCACCTTAATGTACCTAACTCTGGATATATTGTCCCGTTTTATACAAATCAACATGCCCATCTTAAACACCAAAGAGGAACAAACGGCCTCGTTCTCACATATTCTTGTTTACTATCCATATAAAACATGCCTTTAGGTCTGGAAAGCTGTCCAGAACCTGTTGTCGAATGTATTGTTCAGCTGCTAGACCTCGACGATATTTGCAATCTTCGCCTCACCTGCAAATCACTTGCCTTGGGATCCTCTCACTATCGTTTCAGGACGTTCTTTCGTTCGAAACACATCAAGCTTATGGTTGATGCTCTACGGACATTCGCTGAGGGTATTCAAGATGGGGGTCTTCAATCTCTAATCCAGCACCTGTATCTTGTAGGTATCGTTGATGAATGCGAAAGCCGGAAACCAGGGAGGCAAAATTATTGGCAAAATGAAGAAACGCGGAGGACGCAAGAAGTCAATCTACTTAGCCAAGCATTCAACGGGCTTGCAAAATACAGCAAGAACGGAAGTCCTCGGTTGCTTACACTACGAGTAGCCATTGTCCGTAACGGCGAAGAAACAACCTTACCTGCCGATTCAGGGCCTTCAGTCCCCTTGCAGAAGAGTGTGTGGCTACGCACAATGCACACATTTGATACGGTTGTATCTGCATTAGCCGCGAGCAGCTTGCGCATTGACGGCCTCAACATCTTCAGCGAACCGGACATGCCTTGCTCTAGCTTGGCGTGCGATCAAATCAATGCAAACGAGTGGAATGACTCCGGTTTTGCTAAGACTTTGGTAACCCTAAGGCCATTAGCAATAAGCCTCTCCACTCGGGTTTTCGCGTTTCCTAGAGCTCTACAAGAGAACAAACAGGACGTGGGGCGATCCTCCAAGAGGGATGCGGCTGAGGTACAAGCAGAAGCTGAAGATGAAAACGACTTTGTCGGCCTTTCAAGACTCCTTCGGCTATGCAACCAACTTGGAAACTTGGAAATAAATTATCTTCGGATCCCAATGGGTTATTCGGCCTTAGTCGGTCATTTCTATTACGAAACCATTCTACAGCGCATAGTCGAACTTGATAGGCTGCCCATTCTAAAGCGTTGCAAGTTTTCTGGGATTTCTGCCAAGGAGACGGATCTGCTTGGATTTATTCAGCGGGCACGAGGCCGTGAGCTATCGCTCGAGAAGGTGATACTATGTACAGGAACATTTCGGTCAACCTTCGATTACTGTACCAGCAGGGCGGCAAGTATGACGAAGCTACATTTTGATACTTTATATGAGACTTTATATGATAGGCATTATGTCGAGAAAACGATTTTCTTTGCCGGTGGCGGAAAGTCTCGAATAGGTTTTCCTTCCGCATCCGCTACTGAAAGGCTGGACCGAGAAGGGGAGAGTGTTAGGACTTCTATTACTTACTATATCTCACCAAGAACGCCGATCGACAATCCTTGGATCCCAGAATGGGGGAGGTTCAGGCGCACGGAAAATGGCACATGATTGTGAAGATTTGGTTTTTATTCGCTTCTTCCTTTCCGCAACAGAAGTCTCTGATGAAATGTACGTTGCAGCGCAGAGCACACTGAACCTGTCATGGTTCTAGCCGTGTGAAATAAATAACCCCTGTCAGTCATGGTGAATAATACCCTTCCTTCCAGCCTAAGCAAAGATCGTGCCACCGACCAAGATGTGAGTATGCTGCCTAAAGCTTAGCTCCGTCCATGACTGACCTCTTCCGCATCGTCTTATGATCAGTTTAGACGAGGACGGTTTGAAAGGAAGCAAGTCTTAACATGGGAGCTTCAGGTTACTGTCAAGCAAGTTCTTAGTTATTATACATTTAGGTGGATTCCTACCTGGCGCCCACAAGAGGTCGGGGCAAAACCTAAGAATTAGCCAATTAATAGTTTATACTTCTAATTTGGACTCTTATATCCCAGGCACTAACAAAGGCTCGACACATCAATCGTAAAATATACCAATGGCTTTTCTTTAATATCGGCAGTGTATGTTCTGTGTGTCCGCGCCATTCATGGCCCGAATGTGTGGTTTTGTTTGGTCCGGCATATCTGGACTTTTTCGTATAGGGTAACATACCTCATTGGTTTATATATGGTTCGGAAAGCAATTAGTGGTGTATGATCATTGCCTAGAGCAAATATGTACACAAACAAAATCAATTTGCATGTTTGATTTCCCACGGGCATCTCGCCGGGGAAATCTATTACAGAATTTACTCAGTCGAACATGATTTGCCGGTTAAGCCCGCGTGGTGTAGGGGCCTACTCGCCCCTTTAATAGACCATCTAGATTATCACACGTAAAGACAAGGATAGGCCAGGATCGTCATCTCCTAGCCCAGTTTCAAAGCTAACTTCTTCTGGCAGCTCGATTGTTGAGTAATCTGACACATCAGGCAAGCCCACACATGGAGCAGGTCAATATGCCTGAGCCCAATTGCAGTTTTTTGCTGCCATTTAATTTAATTATAGCTTATCCCCACAGATTATACGACGCTAATTGATAAAAATCACCTGTCAAAGTCATTACTACTACATGCAGCTTCTTTATATCTTTTACTTGATCTAATTGATTCCCTTCATGTTTTTACATCTTATCTTGCGGGTGTCATCATCAACTCCGTCGATAAGCAAGCAAGCAAGCAAGCATAGACCCTCAACATGTCCTCACCGATGGACGCTTCCTTGGCCATACATAGCAAACAATCCGAGCATGACGACTCGCCTCGAGTGCATAATTATACATAGGTCACAAATCGCCTCCATCGACCCAGACAACCACAAAAAATCATAAACGGTGGGAGCCCAAGGCGCTCAAATCCTTAACTTAAATAACCTTATTATCCTCCCAGGCTTTATCAATAGCTATATACATTAGTTTTTTCCGCTTTCTCAGCAGAAACTCGCCTTGGCCGGTTACAAACCTCGAAATATCCTTCATCAGAGAGTATGAGACTAGTTTAGCCCAAACTATCAGCGGCTTCGCGAGTAGGTGTCTGTTACTCTGCGCGCTACAGGTCACTTGATTAGGCACTTAATGAATTGACCTGGGACTATTTGAGCCGCAGGCTTCAACATATCTTACTATTCGCCAACGTGGTGAACTAGGATGATAGAAACTGGTAGAAGTATATTTCCAACTACACCTTCGATTCTGTCGTCTGCTTTCTTCTCCCTATCCTTATAAAATCCACTTGAAAATTCGCATAAGAATTATTATCCCAAAACTCTTGGCCACCCACTACATAGCGAATGCAAAGAAACATTGGCTTATACTCAAGATCAGTACATTCCGTCAAATATTTTGAATATGAACGCATCGTAGCCTTAATTCCTTACGCACTGATCGGCGTTATATATCGCCTCGATTTCTGATACAGTCTTCCAATAGTCTCAAGTGTAGCGACAGGCAACTGGTTTGTGAAAACCTGGATTTGCTACTACAACACTTCCCACGATGGCCGTTTCATGAGCCGAGGATTTTATCTCATAGAGTCTGACAGGCATCGATTGGCGAGCCACAGCATCTTGCGGGACGCTGGGAGTGTTGATAACCCAGTAGGACGAAGATGCTCGCCTGCAGGGTCATTCATGATGCGAGGACGATGAGACTTTGTCTCGACGCCAGTCATCAACAAGTGCCGAAACAAAATTGACTGCTGATGGACGATCGGTGCGGTACAAGTGGCAAATTTGTTCCAGATCTGATGCGAAATGCACCGTTTTGGTACATGCGGGATTTCTGGATCTCGGTCGTATGGACTGGCGGAGACCTAATCCCAAAGATTTACCATGAGTGTCACGGTCTGGTTGGTACTTCGCCACTTCGTCTTTGGGGAGCAGCCGGTCTGAACTTTTTGGCGACTTATCGTCAGGTTTGTCGGGAGGAATAGAAGACTCCAAGGGCTCGGAATATCGGCTACGGACCGAGTCTCTCCACCCTTGAACCTCTCCTGCTAGCTTTTGATTCTCGAAAGTGATGGTAGAGAGATTGGAGCCGACATGAGATCAGCAAGAATCCTGTTCCTTGCTACTGTTACTCGCATTCTGCGACGAGGACGATAGCCGTTTGGAGAGCCTTTTGGAGACTGTTTCATCATCTTGCAGCGTTTTTGGTGTTGTTTCGTGAGATGCAGGGATATCTTGTATAGCCATAAGGCTTTCACTCCAGGTCCAGCTCTGTGTTAGGCTAGTTTATGCATTCTGAGTAACCTGGCGTCTCGCAGTTGTCACATATGGCTCTCTCGACGGATCCTGGGGGATAAGTGTTTCGATAGACATGGTGGCGATGAATATGGCGGAAATGCTATTTTGAGGGGCGTGTAATTCGAATTGTAGAAGCCGGATCCTTCGTCTGTGCAAACAGTCACCAGTGCATATCGATTTCTCAGCGCTATACGCCACTCGTAGAAGGCGGCGACGGTCTGTTGACGAGAGGCAATCTGGCGGTGTCGTGACACCGGACGCGGAGAGGAGGGTTATAGAGCATGTTATCTTACAGAGGAACGGGATGAGGTGATAGGAGAATCAGACTGTTAGTGGAAAACTGTTGGTAATTTCTAGGCTAGTGTTGTCTTTTTGTTCACCAGCAGAGGTTATAACCCTAAGTCAACAAGACGACATTGTGAATAGGTTAAATTAATCTTTCACATCTCAATTTGGCATGATCATGGTCCATTTCGATGGACTGAGGAGTCAAGGATCTTGCCAATCAGAGTCAGATGACGACTAGAAGGGCATTCGCAAAGCTTGACGCGCATCCGGCTTGTTCCATGTTGCCTGTCATCTCCTCTTCATCAATCACATGATTATTCCGTGGGCGGTTTTGAAAAGAAGATTTTAGTGGTCGAATTCTCACGACACTTTCCAATAACCACGGCATCTTTTGCGATAAGCCGCATACAGTACAAATTCCAGCAGTGCAGTTCTTGTTCTCATGCTAAGATGCACCGCCTGCTCAGCTGTTTTCGTCAAAGTTGTTGTCAATACGCTCGATCAAAGTTAATAGGCTAGCAGCCAATCATGTCATCTCCTCTACTCAAGGTGTATTGGTAATGACACTCCATCTGACGCATCAAACTTCAGCTAAAGGTATGGGCCGGTCTAGACCGCCATCCGGACCAAGCTTCGTTGACCAAGCCGAGGACCGGCCCGGAGTCGGCCGCCCAACCCGGTTCCTCCATGGAGTTATCTTTACTCTGATAACTAATCAAAGGGTGGACAAAACTCTGGAGGCGTGGAGGTGCCCGACCATCAAGACATACGATCGATCTAGATTTGCTCACATCAGTCGATAGGATCTACGATTCGCCACTATCTTGATATGTAGTCCGTTATTGGCCCTGGAATTTCCGTCGAGAGTAAGCCATAAGATAGAATGGTAGAATTCATTTGTACAATGTCAGTTGCTCCTGGATGATATCGTAAACTTCATGACAAAACATTATAATTCATCTGATGTTCCTTTGAAAGATTCATTAAAGTCCCCAACCGACTTAAAGCACTAGCCATAACGCCCAAATGGCTACCGTGGAGGTTGATGGTATCCTTGACAGCCTTGCCCAAGGGTATGATGAATCCCAGTTTCAAGTAAGTTGCTCAAAGACCACTATTTACAATCGGTAATACAGAGTAGTATGTGGGCATTACGTCTTTGCCTAATCTGACTCTGAGTGACCAGTGCACTGATAATTGTCTACAGATGCCTCCTGATTGCTCATCGGGGCAGGGTGAGTTTATTCCAGCCTGACAGCTAGAGCCACTACTTACAGGATCATAACAACAGCCACTATCAAGAATCATATGACGAATATGAATGAGAATTTGGCTTCTGAGCACCTTACTAACACATTCGGGTCATCTTGGCTTTCTGATTTACTGGAAACCGATCTCTTTACGGCCTACCAACCAAGTCTTGAGATGAACCTTGACTATATCTGCCCCGATACCAACAAAGAACCGCTGAGGGAAGCAACAGGTGAGCCATTGACTCCTCCTGAACAGGAGAGTAGCCCATCGGATCAACAAACCCCCAGAAAGAGTATTTTACTTCCTGCTCCCGACGTTCAACTTCGATCAGCATCGCGTGATTCAAAGAATCGCAAGCGTCGTGGCGCAGCTCCCAGCAATCAAGTACACGCTCGAGAAAGCCATAACCTTATCGAGAGACATTACCGTGCCCGACTCAAGACGCAATTTGAAAGGCTTCTCGCAGTTCTGCCAGCGGCGCAGGCACTTAGCCTTGCTGGCAGGGGTACGGCGGCCAGCCTTGGTCAGGTTCTTGGCAGGGGGCAGGTATTGGGTATGGCAGGGGGTCGCATCCTCGAGTTAGAAGGAAAGCTTGAGGTTATACTGACTAAGAGAAGGGGTGGCTATTATGTATAATGATGGAAACAAGGCAAGCAATTTACAATATGGGCACGCCATGGAAACCTCGTCATGGTGACCGTGTGATCTGAAGTGAAAGTCATTTTTGTTCAGGGCTATCAGATGATTTTAAGAGCAATTAGTCCACGACTTTAAACTTTTATTATGATGCAAAACATATTCAAAAAGGTACTTTTCAAAGCGCGATCTATGGCCTTGAAAGAGGTAGACTATCACTGGTCGTGAGCAGGTAACTAACAAAGTCATATTTACAGCTTTGATATCCTGATATATATAACTTAATAGAGTAATGTATATGATAAGCGTGCGGGTTAGTTAAGGGTGTAGGACAGAAATCCCTTAACCTTATATCTAACCATCTAATTAATTAGTTCTGAACTGCCTAGTATATTAGAAACTAATAATAAAGTTAATATGCTTATTTACCTCGTCCCTATCAGGCAGATCCAAAACTAAGTCTCCGATGAAAGGTTATAGAGCTTTTTATTATATGCTCTATCTTTCGAAGATAAGCCCTCTTAAGGGCCCAAAGCACCTGAAGCTAAGAGGCTGAAGTAGGCGAGACATATGTGCCGATATATAAAGTGTAATATTATTATTCTCCTTAATATAGCTCAAAGTCGATAGATTGTTGACTTTGGTAGCTATCGGGGATCAGAAGATGATAGATACTAATTGCTTGCTTTAATAAATATTAGTTTAAGTGTTTTAGCTACTTGAGACCTGACTTGTTATCTGTCTAGCAATTTTGGGTCGTTGTGATAGCCTAATCGCCCGGACTGTTGCATTCTTGATACTAACTCTGAAGGTGATTTCGGCCTGCAACCACGATAAACGGCTTGATAGCCTAGCCTGCCGTATTCATCGCTTGGATTACTGTAACCCATTCCTGATTTCTAGCCTGTAAATTTATAAGTCGTCTATGCCTCTCTATATATGTAATGACCATACTGATTGAGAAAATGCCTATTATGAAGCCGGTCCCACCAAAATTCCAGATATTATCTGAGTGGATACTTGTGGGGGCCGGACTCCTGTTAGATACGCACGAATACGATTGGATGAGTGTATTAAAAAATGTGGACTATAATGTGGCAATGTTCTGGTTTAATTCCCCCTCCTTTTCTGGATACAATGATAATATTGCCATAAAGGAAAGCGGAGCCCATTCCCAGCCGCCAATCTAACAGGGGTGTTGTTCACCCACAAATCATATCAGCCTAACTTTGTAGCCTATGGCATCAGGTGTCGTGCTTGACTCCTTGGGTGAGGTCATAGTGATGCCACGGTCCTATAGCGCCCCCAGGTTGAGCACAATGTCCTTGGGTCTTATAGTTGACGCTCGATCATATAATACGATGAGTTGCTCAAAGAGTAGTGGCTTGATCTCCACCAAAGCAATCGTATAACCCAAGTGTGAGTGAAACATACATCTCAAATGAGTTTGACTGACCGAAGTCAAGATTTAAGGCGTCCGCGTCGGCTGTCGGCCAAGCCCGAATATTTCTGCGGAGTAAGGGTAACTACATCGGACTAGGCTAGACATATCAAACGGTGCTGAATAACCCCCCGATATTCCTAGCTCAGGATAACCAAGTGAGTTGTCCACCGGCCAACACGAGGTCACTTACCTTCCACCTCAACCCTAAAGATAAACGCGTCGTCTTCATGACAACAAGTATTTACAGTGAGGCTGCAGCCTTGCAGACCTTGATAGAAGGTACGTCCGCTTTCCCCGGCCAGGTTGCCAAGCTCTAACCCCCCAGCGAACCTACGGGTATTATACCCAATGCACCAAATGGAGGTCGTGACATACAAGGACGGCGGCGGTCAGATATACGCATGCGTAGTCGGGGTGCCGAGTCACCGTGAGTGGTACGTGGGAGAGCTCGAGATTCTGCACAAGGGCGAGCCTGGAAATCCGCCATTGGGTTTCAAGCACTCGCTGGAGAGTGTTTTCCGCGAAACTCAGGACTTATTGGGGGCTCAACTACAGAAACAATGTCGCACGGGGAGATGAAACTTGACTGCATTATATTGCATTCCTGACATGTGATTGTTAAATGTATAAGTACTCCGCGATTTTAGCTTGCTTCCAGTTCAAGTACGCTCTCTCTATGTGATTGTCAATACAAGATAAGCCAGCTCAATTACGAAATCAGCCATAACTCTGTCATTCTTAGAGCGGCCTTTCGGCATCAACACATTTCCCAAAGTCTGGTTTCCCTTCTCGATTCGTCTCTAGTAGTTCAATTGCGTTTTGTATCTAAATTCAAACCTCTACCTGGAGAGTATCTGATATGGATGTTGGTCATTCTTGGTTACTATTCGGGAGATAGTTCTGTTACCCTGGATAATAAACAGTTCACCCGTGATTCCGTCTTTGGCCCATTGCGGGTTAGCGTGTATTAGTCACCATAGACCATTTTAATCTCCTTTTCGCCACGCTTCTTCTCCAAGATCAGATTAAGACAAGCATCGGATAAGAGCGGCTTAAAGACCTAAAACTCGTCGAGATTGACGGTCCCCTCTAACCTTGCATTCTTAGCTTGGGTTCATTTCGTGGTGTTGTGCTCTCGGCTGGATCCGCCCTATGATCTGATGGACATAGTCTGTTCCACTGCCTCGCCATCTCGCCACATCATCCTTGAACATGAGTCAAATAGGCCGGAGTCTCGAATCTCCAGCCCTAAGTACATCTCGAGTCCAGAACTTAGTTAGAGACTGGCATGGGCGAGAAACCCACGTTTTTGTTCTGGACAAACACCAGCTAACCAGGGTTTCGCTATGTAGTCAGCCAGTGATACCAAGAACATGTGCCCCAGAAAGGCATAATCTTGCCTATGACGAGATCTAGGACTCACCAGGCTGACAGTGGCAACGTACTGGCTGGGGTTGATGCGTTGATAGAATGTACAAAAAAAAAACTACACATTATCTGAGTTGCCTTAATGCCCCCGCCCTTGGCATATGACTATACAGAATGTATGATCTGCTTTTTAAACTTGCTCATATGATCAGAAATGATGTAATAAGAACGATAAGTTGGGAAATCCATAGGATTAGGTTCTTGAGACATGAAAGGTATACCTAATAACGAGCATATATCACTTACCACGAGCATTAGAAACAGGATAGCTTTTTCCTCATAAAAACTACATCACATATACAAACAAATAACTCAAATATCCTTACACAGACCAACAGCCGAGGTTACATATTCTTCATCATATCGAATAGTCCAGAGCTACTGTACCACATTATTCTGACGGTCATCGATTACCACGTCGACCCTTCTAGAGCTAAGCAATCCATCTATATTCCCGGCACTAATGCTACCCTCAAAGCCGCCAAAAACTCCGCCTTCAGGGTCTTAGGCACGCTGCACTATAAACCTGAGGACTTAGGAGAGCTGGCTGATTCGTTTAATAAGCAGGACGAAGCGGCTAAACAGATAATAGCGCAGGTTATCTCGGGTGACTTGCAATAAAGGGTATAAGATTAGGCTCTGTGGCCGGGCGCCGAGCAGGTATCCTGAGTTTGCCAAGCTTCTAGTTGACGCTGGCATTGATTCTATCTCTGTTAGTCCGGATAGCCTTGTTGCAGTAAAGAGGCATGTGGTAGCTAGTGTGCAATCTTGATGCCCAGGTGGGATGAGGAGGCAAATTTGGGTCGATATATGTTTGCAGAATTGCGTTCAACTGTGGGCTTTTAACTGGAGGCTAATTTATAATGTGTCATGGCGTAAGAAAGGGTAGTTAGAATGCCGAAACTTGGACTGAATAAATTTGTTTTATTTTCGAGTTCTAATAAAAAAAAAAAAAAAAAAAAAAAAAATTACATTATTAATCAAGTTTGGCGCAAATGGCCGCTGTACACCAGATTGCCTAGCAGATTATAAAAGCCCAATCTGCCCACGGCATTCTTGGCTTAATAATTCCGATGGATCCAGTCAATAGTTTCGCTAAGTTCCTTCGCTGACTTAGCTATATGTGCCTCCTCGTCACTATCCAACGTCATCTGAATAGTACTCATAACTCCCTTCTTCCCGATGACGGCGGGCAAGCTGAAATAGCAACCAAAGTCAGGTTGGAAATGGCTGACGGGACGAACATTGCGCTTGTCCAAGAAGATAGACGCACACAAACTGGACACAATAGAGCCAAGCCCAAAGGGAGTCGAACCCTTAGCTCTGATTATGCTCTGCGACCAATCCTTGCATTCATCCGCAAGCTCGACACGGTCAAAAATGTTGGGGGGGATCGATGTGTTAATGGGGACGCCAGCAACTGTTGCCGCTGACCATGCTACAACCTGGGGGTTTCCATGTACCCCCAACACGTGGATATCTATCGAATTAGCCGCAATCTAGAACTCCATTAGCCCAACTTCAGAGATCGCAAGATCCATATGCACTCACTCCAGCCCGCATGGCCATGAGCCCACGGAGCCGCACCGAGTCTAGGAACGTGCCTGAGCCCAAGACTTGAGATGTCGGAAGTCCGGAAATTTCATGAGCGAGGGACGTGAGCAGGTCGACAGGGTTTGACACGACAAGCAGGATTGTGTCTGATCTGAACGGCTTCATTTTCTCAATTACTTCTCGAACAATTGACATGTTCCGGGATGTATAGTCGATGGTTGTTTGGCCTAGAGAACATGAAGTGAGCCTCATGCGCTTAATCACAGCAAGCAAACAAGATTTTCCTCTTTGACCGCTTACCTATCATGTGCTTGGATCCAGCTGTGATGACCACAATGTCAGCCTTGGCTGCCTCATGGTGTGAGGCCGCTCGCACGCGCGTGCTGCTGTTACAACTATAGGCCACGTCGGAAAGGTCACGAACTTGGCCGTCTCTCAAATCGATATCGATGTCGACGAGGAGTAATTCGCTCACAAAAGAGGTAAGGATGATGGAGTATGCTGCGGCGCCTCCGACCTGGCCCACGCCGACAATTGCGATCTGAGAAACCAAATTCATGGTTCTAGAGAGCTGTTCCAACCACCAGATTGATGCTTTTGCAGCCCCAAGGTACCCACGTTGCTTTTAACAAGGCAATTCAGCCCCGTATCCTGTAGAAGCCCAGGGTCCGGCTTTCCGAATAAACCGGGGCATCGCCCGCACGCCTCATGGGACAACCCACCTGACCCTGGTTTCTTACTTTCTTAGCGCACAACTGATATAAATACTAAGAATACCTTTTTGTTTATTGAGCGCGCCTAGGTTGCCAGGACCCCGCTTTACGTAAGTTCTGATTAACGATGACGACGATGGCATCAGCCATGACCAGCCCGCCTACAACCCAGGTCCGTTCAATCAGGGAATCCATACTTCCACGAATCTTATCAGAGGCACGGTGCGGTAACCTTACAGTACCTCAGTTGTTTGCTTATGGCTGATTACACCACCAACACCTCCGTAATAATAACATATACGTCTACGTACAGGTTGCTTTCGTCACTGCGCGTACATGGTGCAACGAATGCATCTGGTTCCAATGGGTGCTACGTTCCCAGGTTTCCGAGGCCTTTGGCCATGAAAATTGTGGTAGGAGCGATGTGGAAGGGAATGGACCCGAATGACCAGTCTGGTAATATTTTCCAGCCATAGCTCAAGGATGATCGCATCCCGTTGGTGAAGTGGTATGTGAGATTGAAGTTGGAAAACAGGGGAAAAATGCAAATGGTTCAGTGATTGAGACTTTCGGGGATGGAGAATAACGGTTCCTATTTAATTATTGCTATCGGCTGCTTATGACTCGGGATGATTTATATGTTGGAGGCGCCTAAGGCTGAGGAGAACACTCCTGTGAACTGTAGGGGTTTCAGGGGGATTCACTATGAACTTGTTTCCAACTCCACAGCTGCTGATAACCACTCCCGAATTATTACCAAAATTCGACATCTCTCCATGATCTGAATCTATGGACGGGGAGGGTGGCAGAACTAAACTCAATAATTTCAATGCATTGATTCTGCCAAGAAAAAACAGCAGAAAGCAAAAGAGACTGGTAATATGAGGATCTACCTAGTCGAGACGTCTTACAACCGTATCTTGCTGTTTCTTTGCTACAGCCACCAATGCGTCGGCATGTTCGAGGCAAGCGCCTTTGATTTCATTAAAGAACACGCGATCAGAGTCGTAATCTATTGTGATCCGGAGGATATAATACAACGGGTCAGTATCCCCAGCCGTCGCGATGGGTTTGTCAGATGCAGCGAGCTGTCTGATGTTCTGTTTGATAAAGATGTTTGCAGTAACGTTTTGCCCTGATAATCATGTTTCTGATTTCAGCAGTGGAAGTTTGCGCTTATTTGACAGTGTAGTCACTCTTATCTCATCCTCTAAATCTCTTATATTCATAGATATCTGGCCTGTCGTGTTATCCCCTCGACCAAGTTGAGGCTCCAATAAACATATTGCCCCACCTCAGTTATACGCGAGAAAGCCTTCTTAGTAAGGTAATACATGAAGAAATTCTTTACTAAAATCAGGATAATATTTATAACGCCTGTATCATGAGGACTTCGAAAACGGTGAGAATAGATGTAAAATAATGCATATTTTAACCTTTGCGAATTGTTAATAATATATCTCTTCATTAAACTGACTGGAAGCTTAACGTGCCCTCTTTGGTAATATGCCATACGCCCCTGACGCAAATGTTGCCCTATACAGCATCCAAGACCACTCCATGGACACCCCCAACTAACGCACCACTAAAATTTTAATCCTACCATATAAATTCTGAATAACCTGTTTAGTATATAGTTCTAGGTGACTCCTTGACGATCCTGGTAGTCTACTGCTTGCCCCATGCTTGTTATCCCGTTAGCAAAAAAAAAAGAAGAAGAAAACAAAACCTACAGATGCTTATACTTCCAGAACCAAATTCATCTGCAGTAGACAACAAGGCACCGAAACAAAGACACAACTGTAAGCCAATGGCAGCTGAATCGCATAGTATAAAACAAGATGGGAAGCATAATTACAGTGATCCGCCGAAAAGGACCTTGATTGGAAATCCGTGAATGTAACCAGCGGGATTTTATGCGGGCATTAAATGAGACAAGAGGACAAAGCAAAGTATTCTAATGCCTGGGCCTCAAAGTGCAAAGGTTAAATAGGGAAGATTGCGGCATAGACTTCAAGTGCATTTTAATCGATAAATATCTTGCCAAGAAAAGAAACAAGACGTATCGAATTCTCGCCTTTTTCCTAGGCTCTATATTTCAACTAAATAGTGGTGAGGTCCTTATTCAGGACCTGAAATAATAACAAACCCTATTTTACTGAGGAACAAGGTCTTTAGAGTTTGCTTAATATAAAACCGAATCGTTTCTAAAACAAATTTGACTTATTAATATGAAAATGTTACTCTGTGTAATACTATGCAGAGATCTTATCAAGGATATTAAACAGCGGTACTTAATAAAGATTCCCAAGAAGGACCGTTTTGTTGCTGATAGTATTAATCCTGGTTTTCAGTTAGACTTGTGGTTAAGGTCTTATGGTTAAGCTTTTGCTTTCACTTTCATAAGCCGCATTCTTGGGTGTTTTCCCCGCAAAGTGTCTGATTGACAGATCGACTTGTCCCTATGTATCTATAGATCAGACAGTTTGCTTAGGCTACTTCCCGGGCCTGAGCCTTCCGCCCAAGCCAACTAAACTTTAGTTGGCTACGGTGTGGCTATCAATGTGCGCTTGCAAAAAGTGGAAGGTTGCTTGTGTCTTTACTGGTGGAGTCGCAGCGCCGACGATCACTATCAGGACTGTAAGCATTGCAACTATTATCTTGATGGCTTGAGTGGGTAGCGAAGGGCAGTCTTCGAGCGACTTAGCTTTGCGATAACAACTCTTCTGGCGACAAGTGGCGGCTGATTGTGTATGGGTAAGGCTTTTGGAGTTAGGGGCATAATTGACCCAGAAGGAAGAGTATAAGATCACATACGAAGATAAGGAGTCCATGGATCCTTGGACATAAACTTTCCAGATCAGACCACAACAGGCCAAGGCCGATGGCGGACCATGGTCACAGCGCAAGAATACCGACGAGAAGTCCAAGATACGTATGCCTGATATAGGCACGAAGTGATTTATAATATAAATCCGGCAGTTAAATGCTTCGTGCATTTTGGAATAATAGGTTAAGTAGTCTGATGAAGAAACCATTAAGCAATCATGACGATATTAAATAATACCCCACCAAGTCAAAACGACCAAACTTCAGGGCATCCAATGGCTTCCTATAATCACCATTATCATGGTTTTTCTTATCTTATATAGCCTTCTCATATATAAGTATGTCGTGCCCTGGTCGACAAATAAGAGCGTATGGTACCAGAGCTAATATCAAGAATGTATAATTTCAGAACCCTTAGTAACAACCCACTCGCGAGCTCAGCGCAGTCAGAGAGCGTACAATCATCGAGTAGCACAAGGTACGAGGTTAGCAACTGGCAACAGCTAGACTCAGTAGCTCCACTGCAGACGTACAAGCAAGTAACATCAGATTTGGAAATCGAGGGCCCAGGAGAACATTGGGACTGGCCCGACGCGCCTGTAATCTGGTAAGCTATTCCAATCATCAGATAGATTCATTCTTAAATTGACTGTTCTTGTTATATAGCGCGATATGCTTAGAAAGTATGGCAAATAGTGATACCGTCCGTCGGTTACCCTGCAGCCATACATTCGATTCAGGTTGCATTGGTCCATAGTACCTGGGGCAACCTAATACCTGTACCTTGTGTGTATCACACTTCATGCCATCGGAGCATGCACATATCAGAACGAACAGATGAAAAGCATAAGGCCTGGTTGTTCACCAACACCGAGTAATCATGACCTCACGAACTGTCACCTGTGATGCCAGTACAAGCTTTTGTGGCTCAACTTAAATCCAGTAATCAGAGTTTGTATCACATGGTTGAAGTCATATGGCTGCATTTTAACTTTATGGCTAGCCATCAATCATATGATACCTTCCGTGTTTCATTTAATCCAGCACAGCTTTGTGGAACATATCAGTGAGTTCGTGGTTCCTGTTATGTGTCGAAGCTACTATGAAAAGTGGCAAGTTGTCTCGAATTCCTGGCGCGTATTGACGCATAGATGCTGAGCCGGCTCACCTTTGCTGATTTTTATTCCGAATATACTACCAACTATGCCTGTTATTGAAATCCCAAAGGAGCAATGGGCGCAAGTACTCGAAAAGCCCGGCGGCCGTATGTGTCTCCTTTTTTTGTTTCAAACTTGGGTTCGCTAGATATTAATATCAGTTAACAGTGGTTGTTCATAAGAAAGTTCCCGTACATATGCCAGGTCCCGATGAGGTCTTGGTCAATGTAAAGTATTCCGGAGTCTGTCATACCGACTTACACGCTATGATGGGTGATTGGCCACTAAAGAGGAAGATGCCTCTAGTTGGTGGTCACGAAGGCGCTGGTGTCGTGGTCGCCAAGGGTGAGCTTGTCATGAACATAGAGATTAGTGACCACGTTGGGATCAAGTGGTTAAATGGCTCTTGTTTAAACTGCACTTTCTGCTTACAAGGCGATGAGCAGCTCTGTCCTCAGGCTCTCCTCTCCGGCTATACAGTCGACGGCACTTTCCAGCAATATGCTATTGCCAAGGCGGCACACATCACCCGAATCCCTAGCGAGTGTAGCCTGGAAGACGTTTGTCCGATCCTTTGCGCAGGACTCACCGTTTACAAGGGGCTTAAAGAATCTGGTGTTCGTCCGGGGCAATATGTCGCCATAGTTGGTGCAGGTGGTGGCCTCGGATGCTTCGCTCTACAGTACGCTAAGGCCATGGGTGTCCACAGCATTGCAATCGACGCAGGGAACGATAAATTCAAGGTTTGCAAAGATCTGGGTGCAGCAGCTTTTATCGACTTCCAAGAGTCCTCAGATATTGCCGCTGATGTTAGGGCCGCAGTCCCCGACGGGTTCGGGCCCCACGCTGTCCTCGTGCTCGCAACCCACGAGGCGCCATTCCAGCAGGCATACAAATATGTTCGATCACACGGCAGTGTTGTTTGTATTGGTATGCCGGGCTATGCATATCTCAAAGCACCAATCTTCGCCACTGTCGTTCGCATGGTCAACATCAAAGGCAGTTATGTGGGGAACCGCCAGGACGCAGCCGAGGCTATTGAATTCTTCCGACTTGGCCAGATTAAAGCGCCACACAAGCTTATTGGTTTGAGTCATCTACAGGATGTCTATGATATGATGCTTAAGGATGAGATTGTGGGTCGGTATGTCGTTGATACAAGCAAGTGATATCGGTTTCAAAGTTTTACCATGATAGTATGACTGGTCAAGTTGAGAGAGATGGCATTGAATCACCATATTGGCTGGCCACATCTTTAGCTGGAAAATCATTTTACTTCATATAGTACTGGTATAAATGTTACTGATTCTCATACCTGCTAGAGCCTAGCTGCCTTTAAGCCGTGGGATGTAGTATTTAGTAATATTGTTGCATTCTGCGCCATTGGAGACACCTGGTCCGAATTAAATTATAACTGGTTGGCTGAAATCATCCTTCGATTATCTTCTGGATCGGGATCGCTGCTAACCTGAGACCTAAGCTAAGCAACAGCCTTTTACGGTTTCTATCTTTGCTTTTCCATTTTCCTTTCTTTTAAGGTGCTCCGATGAGTCGTTCAGTCAGGGTGTTAGTATGGTTGTTGCGATTGTTATGGTAATTCTCTAAAGCTGATCTCGCCATGTTTCTCTACGTCTGCCACTACCTAGGGCTAATCTTCCCAGCACTAGTTTCGAGTAAAGGAAGTTCGTGAGTAGCGCCAGGTAATAGGGACTCCATAACTCGAAGGAGAAATATTGGTAGTGATTTACACACAGTATGGCCTCATCAGAGAAGAAATATCACCTATTATCTAGAGTTTTAGGCAAAGTCTAGACTCGTAGGTTAATGTAAGGACTCCGATCTCTTGATATACAGCTAAGCTAAGAGTATATAGTCTATGATGGATTTTAAGCTGAAGCTTAAGCGGCCCGGCTGGTTTCGACCATTGATGTCAAATTTACAATGGGATTAGCATACTTCGTAGGTTAGTGTATCAAGTTTCTGGTTCTAGTTGATATTAATGAAATAGTAAAAGGCGGGCTGGTTGTTATGCTACCCTACTTTGTGGTCCAGCATATCGATACTGCACTAATTATCTCAATGACAATTACAGCTGTTATGCTGTCAATATTCAGATACACTTAATCTGCGGTTACTCGATTGGGCTATTATTCCGCCTTCTACGGATCTTTAGAGACTTGATTTGTTGGAGGCGTTGCCGCCTGGGTTAGTTATGGTACTGTACGGGCTGTAAATAAAGGTTTAAAAATAACTTGAATAAGAGAGACAGGCTATGAATGGGCTTGAGAATATTATTCAGTTACGCGTTACTTGAAGGATCTGATTCAATCCCTATCGTACACGGTTAGCACGCTACAAGTGATGTACCAGGAAGTGAAGATGGTGATTCTTCCACCTATTCCATCCATGATTGGCACCACAAAGTTCGCCGGGCCCAAACTCTCCCATCCTCGGTCCCCTAAAGTTGATATCGGCAGTTCACACTCTGCATTGCTATCCCTTCGACCGTGCGAAGGCTCCGTAATTTAACATACTCTATTGTCATAACACTGTCAGAAGCTTATTCTGCAGGCTGGCATAGTGACCAGTGCAGATTCAGACATACAAATATAGCCTCAAGACCAGCGCTTATTGGGTTAGATCTCTACGAGTGAACGCTAGGGAGTCCTAGCAAAGCGAAAAGAATGAATCACTAGGTAGTATTAGCTGTCAGAATGCTTATTCCTAGTGGTTATTGCATTGACTAGATAGATGTGAATGCATTATCTGGTTATCTATCTGAGGGAATTTCCATTCCCACTAAATCGGACGTATGTAGTGGTGCCGATATAGAATGCCATGGCCAGCAACAGCGGCCTTGGACCATTCAAGTCCTGTGGTAGTGTTGACGTACGTCAATCTGGTCTTCTCTATTGATTGAAATTTTAGTTGACGGTATTGGTTGCCTCGGCCTTCTTCGGGTGCAACAGGCGACTGAGCCAAGAGAGGGCCTCATTGCTGACACCGAGAACGGTGGTAACTGCAGCCTTTCCGTGGGCGACAAGGCATACTTGCTTGTTCTTCTTATACTCAGAGTCATAAACTTTAGGAACGTGGTCTCTACCCTCCAGGCCTTTGTGGTATGATAGGGAGATAAGGTCCTTAGTGTCGTTGTACAGCACCTGGGTAGGCTTTTTAATAATGGGGAATTGTTTTTCGACGTAATGGAGGATGTTGTCGCCTAAGGAATCGACCTTGATATAAAGTAGAAGGTGTTGGTATGGCTTCTGGAACCAAGTCGTGGTGGTGGCAGCGAAAGTCTGACAAGCGGCGTTGCCGAACGGGATGGACCTCTGGCCGTATTTGCCAGACTCGAAAGTATGAACGCCGTCGCTGATGACCGGGTAGCTGAGCAGATGCTATCATGAGCTTAGCATCCGAATAAGGCAATGCATAACAGTGTAAGTGTAGTAGGAGCTGTATATTATACCTGGAAGCAAACCGAGTGGTGAGCAAGTCCCGCGTTATCGTTGAGCTGGGAAGACACTGTGCCGGATGCGTACCAACAAAGAATCAGGGCAAGCGAGAATGGTATATAGAGCAATAACAAGCCGGGCAAGTCACCGTAGCTGCCGGATTAATATGATAATAGCATTATAAGTAGAGAAGATGGCAGGTAGATATAGTGGCACTAAATAATAGGTACTATTAGATCGCGAAGGGACTTTGAAGTGGGAGAGGTAGCGCGATTGGAGGAAAGTTTATAAATCGTAGGAGGCACAAGACACAAGAGTGGGGCCCAGGCTGGTCGCCTAACCGTAGCCGGGGTGACAAAATGAATCAAAAAGTTGATTGCCCCTTCAGGCCCAGTTATCGTGCAAGATGTCGGCATTATATTGTCACCCTCTTGCTAGCCAAACAAGACGGTGAAACTATTTTAACTTGGGCAAATATGCAAAGCTCTTATCGAAAGAGTTGATCTCTATGTGTAAAAAGAGAAAGAGAAAATTGAAGAAAAGACAGACTCAGAGGCCATTCATTGCATTTGCATAAATATCTGTTGTGTAGCTGTCGATCACTTTCATCAAGTCTTGGCGCAATATTCGCTCTGATCAAGACCTCGCGGTTCTCGTCCTCACTTCCTCTTCGCTAGTAAAATGTACGTGCCCCAAACCGATTCAACCTCGATGTTTCTCCAGCGATCACCCTGTGCCTTCCACTCAGGTTCTGCCTCCAAGATCTGGTCAAACAAGATGTCCACAATGTCTCCCTCACCGCCTTCGGCACGGCTCTTGTTGTCCGGGTGCGCATCCATCCAGCCCCGATAAGCAGTGAAGGCCCGCACATAAGCCTCAAACTGTCCTAGATTGATCTTGCTCCTCATCCAGGCCGTCTTTGCGTCTGCAACCTCAGTCGTGTCTTTGTCAACGTTGTAGGTGATTCGCTTGATCTTGTCCCAATCCGCCTCAGGGGGCTTGACATCCGCCAACAGGCCCCGGAGGATGTCTCGCGCGGGACGCTCCCAATACTGGTTCAACCCTTCCAGCCCAGGCGATACATCTCCTTCGCCGTAGCAGAACCTCTCAAATATCTTGTTGGCTTGCGGGTGTCCAATGATGATGTTGTCCTTGTACCCCCAAAAGGCCAGTGAGCCGCCTGACTTGACTACCCTGGACAACTCTGGCCAGACTCTGGGGTAGTCGAACCAATGCGCTGACTCCCCGGCTACAGCCATGTCTACCGAGTGCACCGGTAGAAAAGACAAGTCCTCGGCGCTGCCCTGGCGGAACGAGATCTTGGAGAACTGGGCAGTAGCTTGCATTCCTTGCTGCATCATACCAGCACTGGGGTCAATGGCGATGGCTCTGGCAAAGTGGGGGCTCAGCTCCCTAGCAACAATTCCATGGCCAGAACCCAAGTCCAGCAGCGTACCATGAGGATCCTCATGATGATAATACCCCAGAATTGTCTTGAACAGACTTGCAGGATACGTGGGCCTGGCTGCGGCGTACCCTGCAGCAGAGAAAGTTGCCCTCCTGCCGTGGCGTCAGTTCAGTTGCGCAGTCTCCTAGGAGAAGATGCATTGATTTGACTATGATGACTCACCCATAAATGGACATTGTCACGTTCACAATGGCTGATTGATCAAAGGCTACTATACTCGGGAGAGTCGTTCAATAAACAAGAAAAGATGCACCAGCAGGATCGACTGATTTATACTTCGCAACCGCGGCTTCGGCCTTACACATGACATAAGCACTCAAGATTTATGGAGTGATCGATCGGTGTATGCCGCTGCCCCGCAGCGCGGCGTGGGTGATAACGGAACCTATACCATCCCTTGAATTCCTGCACCCTTGATTGACAATCCTGAACGGCCGAAGACACAACCTATCCTGCTAGCCAAGTGTTCAGCCGACTCTGTGTTATAATGTCCACCGAAGCCAATGTTCGCAATTTCTTTGCGTCCTCAGCCTCCGCGGCTGTGGGTGCTAGCTCAAACCCCGCCAATTTCGGCCACCGAGGTCGGATCCTTGTCAATAACCTACTCATCAAGGCCGCGTTGGGCTGACAGTGTTTTAAATAGTCTATGCGTGGTATCTCTATCTCTATCATGACTTGCCAGTCACTCCCAGTAATCCGGGGTCGGCAACTATTTCTGCTCTGGAAAAGGACCATCCCACTGTCCCCAGCGTCGCGGCGCTTCCCAACCCCAACCAGACGTCCATCACAGTCATCACTCCCCTCGGTAACCCTCAAGGTGCTCCAGGAGGCAAAGGAGCTAAGGATCCCATCCGCGTGGCTGCAGCCTGGTAGCTTTGACGATGACGTCCTCAAGTTTGCCAATGAGCAAGGCGGATTCAATGCAGTCGTGGCTGGCGATGCCGGCCGGGTCTCCAAGGGTGGTGCATTTTAGTGTATAGTAAGCGAAGGCTGAAAGCAGCTGGGAAGCTGTAAGAGGTCAATTGGAGGGCAGAGAATCATGACCGAAGAACACGTAGTTTGATGGTCATATCATATCTTACGAGCAGCCTGAGTTTTGGTACGCTCCCGCCCTCTCAGCTTATGAGTTACCCGGTGGGCCGAGAAGCTGTTAGATACGCATGAATATAACGGGGTGAGTGTATCCCAGTGTGGACCAGAATGTGATGATGTTATTGCTTGCCGACTTGATTCTTTGGGTCAGTCTGTCCATGAGGGTTTTACATCTCTTTTGGATATAAGAATAATATTGCAATAAGGGAAGTGGGGCCCATTCCTGCTGAATTAGTGATAGCACGTTGATACCCCGAGGCAGTCGCTGAAGCCATCAACACCCTCGCTCAGCAGGTGAACCTCTTCAAGATTGAGGTCGAAGCGGCCCAGCGCCCTCGTGACGCTGTCGAAGACCTCCTCCGTCAAATGGTGGCTCAACTGGGCGGCATCAACACTCGTCTCCGAACTTTTGAAGGCAGTGTCAATCGCATGGAAGCAACCGTCGCCGGCCAAGGTGAGCGCTTGGATAATATTGATGAGCGTTTGGATAGTATCGATGGTCATCTCGCCAGCCTGTTAGTACCATCAGCCTTTCCCGCCCGTCTTTATCAACAGATGTAGGACCTCCGCAACAAGGAACGTTCGCGCCCGAGCTTCCAACGCCCGAGTCACTGAGGCTGTCACCGCCCTGACCCCCCTTGTCAATCCATAGACTGGCGTGGACATTCCCAACTTCCCCCGCACCTATGGCGATGCCCAAGAGCTCAACAATATGTACATGTATTCCTCCCATCTTATAGCCAATTAATCCTAACATCTGCATTGCAGCTCGCGAGCTTGGAGCCCTTCTGGTAGTCCTCGGCGTGCGCTGCAATAGAACTGCTGAGCGCAAGCGAGCCGCTTTCTTCAATGCCATTGGCATTACACTCATGGCGCACTAGTTAGTGCTTTTTCAGTTTATCGCATTCTGGAATGGAGTTTGGTGTAATCGGTTCAAGAGAACTATACCCATATGTAGTTGGCTATCAATTTTGGTATACCTAGACCTAGGGAACACGGAATAGACATGGAAGATGTCTTGATGAATATGCTTTCAACTGAGTAACTGTTTGTGACTGCGAAATGCGACGAGTCGAGATACGCGGTCTGTCACCCGGAAATATCGTTTGCAGGGCGTTTTAGTGATTGCATAGGGCATCTTCCACTGGAACCCCTCCTGAAGCTGGCCACTACGAGCGCATCAATCAGTAGCCGAGTCCCATTGCCTTCTGGACAGATGGGCTGTCGGGAAATCTACGGGCCCATGTTTATCTTGGCGCGGTTTCCCTTATCTGAAGCGCAATTTGCTGGCCGTTACATCAACCATCAAATCTGGAACAGTCAATGCATGTAAATTGTGTCTTGACTCTCAGTTAGATTGAACCAATTGAAGTCTAAGATTTCACTACTTTAATATTCTAATCTAGATACTGGTGTTTCTGTTTGCAAATAATGCAGTACCTAAAAGCTGGATGAGAATTATCCCTGAAGGTTGGGTGTATTGGTGCGCTCTGCCAGTACAATCCAGGGAGAGAGTAGTCTGAACAAACAGCTATCCTGTCAATGTAAATACGACGCTTATTATTATACGTGCTGTTTATATAATTATTTCGTATTGAACAGCACCTTTCAATTCCGTAGCTTGCAAGCTGGAGATGCTGAGCTTGAAAAAACCATAACTCAAGATGGCGCCTTGTGTAACCACAAAGCCAGCATGGACCTGCACCAAGATCAAATTACACGTCATCCTCAACATTTAGTTTTTTTATCGAGTTTACTGATTGCAGGCTCTGTGACCATGTCTTCCTCCTTTCATTAATTATTATATTCTCTCCACGGCTCACTGCGAGTTACGCTACTGATGTTACCCGAAACGATATTGCCAATCGAACTCATTTTACTATGCCAGACGTCAAACTTCACAGTACGTTGTGGAAACACGTACCGAGGCATCAATTCTGTGTACTCATAACATGAGGCTGCTGTCCAAGGTTTCAGAACCTCCCTCTCCAGAGAGCTCCTATGGAATGAAGCGCCCCTGCAATTCAAGCACCCAAGACTCGAACGACGAAAAGTCAATTCCACAAGTCACCCGCTCCGAAACAGCCATCAGTGGAGTAACGGACATGAAGAGTGCCAATAGAATCCGCTACCATGCCCGAGAAGCAAAGGCCGAGGCCGACAAGGCCAACAGAGCCTTAGAATACGCCAAGAATATGCATCAAATGGCCGAACGAAGCATCAAAGCGGCTATAGCGCTCCTTGAAGGGGACACACTTCCAGGGAGAGAGCTGCAAAGAAGGCCTATGATGAGGCAGATGCAGAAGCAGAAGGCCTGAACAGGACATATAGGACAGCTGAACGTCGGTTGGAAGAGCTTCTGGACAGCGAAGAATAATCGCTCCCACGCTGGCCCTCGAGGAAGATTTGAGATATAGATAGTTAAGTTGAGAGACGCAGGGATAAAACGATTGATTTGGTAGAGGCGTTAATTTAAATCTCTTGCTCGAACCATTAGCGAGAGATGCCAATAGCCAAGAAAGTAGTAGTTCTGGCTTGCGGAGCTAGGATTCACTATTATGCTGTTAATATTTTAGCGGCATAATGAGATGTCCCCCAGGCAGTCTCTGTCAATCTCGATTATGGCTTTCCTGCTTGCTACCATTCTTTTTACATGCCTGCACGTATTAATTGATTCGCATATCTTGAGTAAATCTTTATTTATATAGAAATCTTCTCGATCCAGAGAAGAGCGTCGCCATTGTTATTTACTAAATTATAGATGCTCAATCTGGCGGCGTTACGACAGGCAGGAAGGATGCTGTATGATGTGATGCAACGACCAACCGTTCACAACCAACGCTTGGGAATGGAACGCGTTGTATTGACTTGAACTTGTCCCATGCTGACAGTGAAGAAACCGTGGTTGCCTGAGTGAAGATTTTAGATGGTTAACTCGGGCCAGGTACTGGACACTGTTGTTAATGAGTGATGGGTTGTTATCGACGTTGGAACGTTTAGCCTCCCTATGTGCCAACTAACAGCTGAGCCTGGTGCTGATTTAACTGTTTGCTATATAGCAATAGGTACTATTGCTTCCTGACCCTTGGTGTTGCTAGTGCCGCATATCGAGTACAGTGAATTGAGTCTGAGATGATAGTGAGATTGTCAGAGTTGAAAGCAGCCCATGGAATGCAACAGCTCTTCCATACCTAGGAATTCATGACTCTCTCTGAGAACTGACATGGTAGATCCGTTGGCAACATCTTCGCTCCCTCCTTGCTTTAAAGTACAATCATCTGGTCAAGTATTACCCCATAACAAGAGCTTCAGAAATACACACAAGTTAGAGCAAGCGAAAAACTATTAAAAGGGTAGTTTTTCCTGGTCAACTATCAGTTAGATAAACTATTATAATGTTAATAACATAATAAGCCTTAGTACTGGTGATATGCACCAAATCTCATGGCTGCTTCGGAGTCCTGGTCGGTCATTAGAAGATGCAGCAGCAGCCTGACTTTCAATAAGCTACTCTGTTAATTCTATAATTAAAAAAACTCAGGATCGATAATAATCTAACTCTCGACCTCTTGGCCCACCAGTCTCTGTCCCAAGGTCTTACATCGACGGTCAAAGAGTATTGACTTAAATTCATCGTCGCTGTGACCCGCTTCACTTACAAGCCATCAGTCTTAGTCCCCAACGGCGCCGGAAGAAGTGGGATAGTCATCGGTGTAAATAAACGGACAGAAGCCGCGTTTCTCCTAAAAGGGAACGCTATGGTCACGGTTGGGGCACTGGGGATAGGGACGAATCATTTCCAAGAGCAACAGGCTAAGAGCACAATAGACCAACACCAATAGCGACCCGAACACTTGGCAGCACCAGTACCGCTTTCACCGTGAGGTACAGAGCCAGCCGATGAATCAGCTCAACTGGCATTAACAAGACCAGCAGTGCCAGCGGCAAGAGTCTTAGGTCCCAGAAAGACAGGGAATCAACACCCAGCATTCATATGATGCTGAGATGTCCTCTTTGAGCCATAGATCTGATGAGTGATAATAGTGGGAGTGGTAACAAGCTACCTAGCCTCATGTCCAGCAGTGCCAGTCGTAGTCGATCGTCGAGCAACTCAGCGAATGCCTCGACAGGTTCTGGAGCCCAACCTCCTCTCGTCTCCCCAATATCAACGTACACGTTCCAACTAATACTGTTACTCATGACTTCTAGATTGCTTCACCCAAGCCACTCTCGAAGTCCACGGCTTGGGCCCTCATGAGGCTCCTCAAGAAACTCTCCTTCCACGTCAACAAGGCTCTCCTGACGAACCAGGAGGACCAATTTACATGTTCTGTTGGCACTGTCAGTTGCAATGCCAGCGGACATTGAGATTATCAATAACCATTTGTTCCGAAGCCTACGGAAATGGACGCCGAAAAACTAAGTTGATATATCAGTGAAAGCTATATCTACTTCTATCTAGGAATGACCAGCTTGGGGTTCCCGTTGATAAGATTCATCAATGGTGGATTCAAACAATTCACACTATCTGAGTGACTCTATGTAGACGTCAAGGTATCACGAAGGTTGGAAGGCGAACTCGTCCAAACCTCTCGAATACATCGCTAGGCCAGCAATAGCCCTCATCTGCTTCGCTGGAGCTGAATTTGATACGGAGAGAGGAATCATGCGTTGTATGGCGCTGTGGTCCCCTATGCGATCCCAGCGACCCGAATCCTTCAGAGAGTCTCCGTCCAGGTCACCGCATAGGATGGCCCTGAACAGGTCTGTGGAAGCGTTGAACGACGAGCCTAAGATACCAAAGCTGGTCCCGAGTGTTAACTTCAAGTGCACAGTATATGCTGAGTTCATATCATCGTACATGTTTTTTCTCGCATCTCCAAGCAGGGTCAATTTCACCATGCACAATTGTATTATCAAGAAATTGTGCTCTGCTATTTTTAGTGACCTAGTTTGACCTTCCATGTCGTAAACGGTGTCCTACAACTGGTCTTCGAATATTGTCGCTTCTTTTTCGGCGATCTTGAGCTCTTTGCTCTTTTGTGTTCTGATTTTTGGTGCTTGATGCTTTGCTCTTCCTGTTTCTTGCTGTTGTCGATCGATCGTCGCACTTCCACTTCGAGAGACTTGAGCTTCTCTTGTAGCCCTGCCACAGCAACCTCCTTGAGCTTCTGGTACGCTGCCACCTTCTCATCTGTTAGCTTTTGTTGCTTCTTGGCATTGTCCCGGATCTTCGTCTTGAGAATGCCCTTTGCAGCCTTCCACGCTTCAGCTTGTTAGCCAAACTCTTTCATATTCTTTTGTTAAGCCGTTCCGGTTTCGTCGAGTAGCTTTCGGAGTCTGTCATTATCGAGAGCAATTCGGAGCCGACGGATGTTGGTGGCCTACCTGCATAATGCAGCCAAGCGGCTGCTTAAGCTTCTTTTCCGCGGTTCTGTTATATAACAACACATCTCTCATGAACTAAGATGGTAGGAAGGCCTATTCGTTCATTGGACTCAGGTCCAAGCATTAGGACAATGGATTTTGGTGCCAAGGCTGTCTACTTACATGGTGCAGCTAGCCGCTGTAGCCACGGTAGCATCCATGCTCAGTCTATTTGTACCACTTGTAACACCCTTCCGCTTTATAAGCAAACGATGGATCGCTTCCACTGCAACGAAGCTCGCTATGTACCAGCGCTTCGTGCTTCATGGATTGAGTCAGCTGAGAAAAGAACGGTACACTATCACGTGTTCTTGTGCCAGCCCCGAACGTCAAATCAATTGAAGTCTCCTTTTTAGCTTCTCTTAACTGCCGCGTCTGCCGTCCCAAAGTAAAGAGCACGATGTAAGAGTCACAGAGACAAGGAGCAGAGGACCAGGGGTCATGCATGTTTTCTCCTCTCTGAAGAAGCGCCAAGGCCAACATCAAGCATTTGGGCATCCGCATGCGCATCGTCAGGATCATGCAGCAGGGGATGCAAAGATCCCCTGCTCTTGGTCCCATTGACCATATCTGGGTACACCGCCTGGAAAAGCATTATCGCTGACAGATCAAGGCGATCGTTCTCGGTAGGGAAGATGCTCGTATCCCTGGGCCAGTGATACGTGAGTCAAAGGAGGAGATCGTCAACGCCTATCACAGGCTTAGATTTAGTGAGAGTGTTGAGACAGAAATTGTCCTTCACTTGGCCATTGATATACTTCAGATGGTTAACTTCTCCAACTTACAGAAATAAGTAATATCACTAAACAAGTACCTTACGGATCTCCTCAGTCATTCGCGTTGACGACATCCCCTCTCACACGACTATCCCATTTTATGGCTATTACCAGCAATAAATTACCAGTAACATATTTTTAGCAACTTATCGCCACCCCAGGGAGGGCCTTTATTCTCTGTTCTAGCTGGCGTAGGCCGGCTTTCGAAGGGGCAGGCCATAAAGTGCTAGACGTCTCGAGTGGTTATAGCCTCTTTGGAAACGGCAAATTAAGAGGGTAGCATTTCCGATGTATATTGTCCTCACTGCCGGGCTCCCAGCATAGGGCCGTGATTTCTACCATCTCATCAGGCTGCCCTGGATTCGAGGGTGACGAGGTTAGGCTTTCTGATCATCGAACGAGCTGTTCGACCTGTTGTTATCTTCGTTTGGCGAACAGCTATCGGATGTGTTATTATTCTTTATGAAGCTTGTTGGTGTCCATTGAACAGGTGATTGGAAGACAGATTCGAGTTCCTCGCCGATCTTCGGCCAGCGCGGGACTTTACCGGAATTATACTTATAGGCAAGTTTGGGGTCTGCGTCAATAGCATCGACTTATTCACAAAGCGGAGCATTTGACGACAAATCACTTTGCGTGCCTTATTAAAACCAGCAACATTAGCATCAAATAGAGATTTGTCGTTAACAAGCGGGTCGAAGCCCTCCTTTTTGGTGCTCTGTAGTGCCTGGTTGGAAGATGCCCCTGCTTATTTCGATTCAATCTTACGTAAAATAAACATAGATTGGTCAAACCACAATTACAATAAGTAATAGCGGATTGAAGTCAACTTCACGAATGCATATTTAGAACTTTATATATAAGTAATAGATAATAAAACTAATTATAAATTACTTATACTGCTGTTATTGTTGCAGCAAATGACCTTAGCATTGCAAATCTTAGAGTTAGTGCAGGTTTAACCATAAAGCATTAGGTAAGTAGCATAATTAAGGAGTAAAAGATGTCTACTGCTATTAGCCTCAGTAGTACAGCAGAACTGAGTTCCTAAAGAACAGGCATTGTCCTGCTAAGTAGGTGGGGGAGCTGGGCAGTTCGTGCTACTAACATCCCTTTTGGTTCTAAGTATACATTAAGTTAGAGACATTGTTAGATGCATTAAAAAAAAACTTACAACGGAGGGCCGGCATTCTGGGCCAGGGAAAGTCACCGAAATTCGGGCCACTAAGGTTAATATCTTGAATCTCAACCTGTGCAGCCGGTTCGGCAATAGGCGATGCTAAAGCGCCTTGCAGCAGCGCAAGACCGCAGCAGAGAGTGGAAAGTTGCATGGTGATAGTGTCTAGCTTAAGTGCAGGGCGAGTAGCTCAAGATAGGCTGTAGTAGAAAGAGAGTAGCTAAGGGAGTAGCGAGATGTAGAGTGACCGAGATGGCTAAAAGGTTGCAAGGTACAAAGGACGAGCAGGATAGACTAATATTCGTATAGAGTCTTTTACAGTACTTTGTTCATTAAGGGCATCCCATCTAGGAAATGTTTTGAGTTGAAAAGGTTAATTCGCACCCGTTACAACGCTGTGCATCGCCCACCGTTAGCTATTATTAGTTATGACTAGATATGATATAAGTGTAGTCTGTGCTAAATTGTTGAAACATTATGGTGTAAGGTCTAAATTGTAAGCTAGATGTGTTATTCGTCGATGAGACCTGTGGCTAAAAGCTTATCTTTAAATATTAACTTAGTAGTCTGTGCTAAGGCTTGCATCTCGTGCAAGATTGGCGGAAGTCGGTGGTTGGGTTAATGCATATGCAAGGGCATCCGGGCATATGGCAATAACCACTAATCAGCCAGTTATGAGGCCACTGACCATTCTGTAGTCAGTGGCTTGCCGTTTCGTGAGAGAACGATTAAATGTAACTGTGGCTTGTCTTGTTGCCTTTGTCTTGGACTGCTTTCAACGACTATTATTACATGTGATATGAAGTAATTACACTTTGCTAGTTTTAAAGTTCTCTATGATCGGTCTGGCTTTAATTTCACTGTCCTTTGTCTATTAGGTAAAAGCGTTTACTTATATATAAGACCTGAGACTTTTAACTCATCCTTAAGTATTTATGCTGCCATATTTATTAAGCCATTATATTATCTTATTTACTACTAGTTTTTAAATATTAAGGGACTGCTTAGTATAGTATTTATATACTGCTATGCACTCAACCTGCCATATTCCAAATGGCATCAGCCATCTCACAGCGGTGGCTCAGTAGGGTAGATTGCCATACAATATGCATCTAAGAAGGTCGCCGCCAAAAGCTATCTTACGACTACAGGTTTGCTCTGAGGGTTGCCCTTTTGCGTCATATCGACATCACAGGTGGTAATACAACTCTGTAGCTAAACATACTGAGATTCTCTTAGGAGCCTGATATGTTGGGTGGATGTTGAGTGGATGTTGAGTTGAGTAATTTGCCTAGTATGCAGCCATCCATTTGGGTGGTGCTGCTTGTCCGATGAAAGCAGTGTTAAGTATTGCTTTATTGCGTAGGAATGATTATTTACTTTTACGCGGATGATGGAGCCTGGCCGACAAAGTCCAAACTAGGCTCAACAATGTGACCCCAACGAGAAGGTATGCAAGTGGCGCTTTGGTAGGTTTTGTAGACCTCTAATCTAGTTACCGCTCCTGGACTGGAGATAACCTCCCAATGGTACAAGGAGAGAGTGTAACAACAACCTGCCTATATATAGGCTGTTCCCCTCGGCGGTTGACGAGCGGTTATGCCCTATCTTAGAGTCAGGCCTCAACTTGATTCACAGCACTTGTTCAAGAGCCAAAACCAACTTTGCATCACACGTCTCAGCCTATTTCCTTCAAAATGAAGTTCTTCGTTCTTGCACCTTTCTTTTCCATGCCACTGGTTCTGGCTGCTCCTGGCGGTTACTACCCGCCAGGCCAAACTATCACGGTCACCAAGCCGGTCACGGTCACCAAACCAGCATACACGGTCACGGTCACCAAGCCAGCATACACGGTCACGGTCACCAAGCC